CTTTGCCCAGCAAGCTGCCGGCAGCCCCGCTCGCCCTCCGGCCACTGGGAGTCGGGCAGCATTTCCGCCCCAGGGCGTCACGGGGAGAGAGAGGGAGGGGACGCCCAGGAGCTCTGACCGGGTGGAGGCGGCACAGCGATGCGCCTGAACGCCCTCCCTCCTGCCCCGCCCTTCACGATTGTCTTTTTTAATCGGGAGGGAGTCTCAAGCTCTGAGCTCCAGTTCCAGGCGAGTCTCTGGGGACCCAGACTCATACAGGAGAAATGGGACTGTCTGGCATCGGTGGGAACTCAAGGGCAGCTTTCTCTCGGAGGCACTCACAGGGATTGCCAGGGCCTCTGAGGACAGGACTAAGAGCAGCCATACTGCTCGCTCTGCCCGCCCTATTGATCCCCTGGGACCCTGCCCCGCCCAAGCCCTGCACAGAGGCTTTTGCATATGAAAGGCCCGGCCCTTTGTAATCTGAAAATTACTTAACAAACTGCAGCTGGCCCAAAGCCCCAGGGCAACTTGCATTGCTTTACAGCTGGCTTCTGCTGGGTAGCCTCAGGCAGAGGCTAGATTAGCACCTTCTTAGATCCAAGAGCCAGTGTACCCAGTGGTCAGAGTGGGACCATCCAACTACAACTCCTCAGATCCATAAGGGACACACTCAGGGGGCAGACTCAGTGAGCACCAAAGCCCCACTGAAGCAAGTCTTGCCCCAGAAGGTGTCTTCAGCACAGAAGTTCTCCCACCATAGACACAGCTGATTCTCACAGCCAATTGGCCTGGAGGTCAATTCCTCCCAGTGATACCTACAACAATCAAGGCTTAACTACAACAAGACTGTGCACAAAGCCCACAAGGGGGTGCACCAAGAGTGTCTACCTCAGGTAATGGGGGATGCTGGGCCACTGGGCCCTATAGGACACCTAGCACACAAAGCCACTCTATCGACACATCGAAGCATAAAAAATGCTGAGACAAAGAAACAAGACACAAATGACAGAAATGGAGGAAAGCAAACTACTGGATATAGAGTTCAAAACCACACTTTTAAGGTTTTTCAAGAATTTTCTAGAAACTGCCAATAAACTTAATGAGGCCCTCAAGAAATCTAGTGAGACCCTCGATGTTGTGATAAAGGACCAACTAGAAATTAAGCATACACTGACTGAAATAAAGAATATTATACAGACTCCCAACAGCAGATCAGAGGATCGCAAGAATCAAGTCAAAGGTTTGAAATACGAAGAAGCAAAAAACACCCAACTGGAAAAGCAAAATGAAAAAAGAATCCAAAAATACGAAGATAGTGTAAGGAGCCTCTGGGACAGCCTCAAGCGTAACAACATCCGAATTATAGGGGTGCCAGAAGAAGAGAGAGAGCAAGATATTGAAAACCTATTTGAAGAAATAATGACAGAAAACTTCCCCTACCTGGTGAAAGAAATAGACTTACAAGTCCAGGAAGCGCAGAGAACCCCAAACAAAAGGAATCCAAAGAGGACCACACCAAGACACATCATAATTAAAATGCCAAGAGCAAAAGACAAAGAGAGAATCTTAAAAGCAGCAAGAGAAAGACAGTCAATTACCTACAAGGGAGTACCCATATGACTGTCAGCTGATTTCTCAACAGAAACTTTGCAGGCCAGAAGGGAGTGGCAAGAAATATTCAAAGTGATGAATACCAAGAACCTACAACCAATATTACTTTATCCAGCAAAGCTATCATTCAGATTTGAAGGTCAGATAAAGAGCTTCACAGATAAGGAAAAGCTAAAGGGGTTCATCACCACTAAACCAGTATTATATGAAATGCTGAAAGGTATCTTTTAAGAAGAGGAAGAAGAAGAAGAAGGTAAAGATACAAATTATGAACAACAAATACACATCCATCAACAAGTGAATCTAAAAATCAAGTGAATAAATAATCTGATGATCAGAATAAACTGGTGAATATAATAGAATCAGGGGCATAGAAAGGGAGTGGACTGACTATTCTTGGGGAGGAAAGGGGTGAGGGGGATTTGGGAAGAGACTGGACAAAAATCGTGCCCCTATGAATGAGGACAGTGGGGGGGGGGGGCGGAGGGTGGAAGGGGAACCGGGTGGAGGGGAGCTATGGGGGGAAAAAAGAGGAACAAATGTAATAATCTGAACAATAAAGATTTAATTTAAAAAAAAAACAACAAAAAAAAACAAAAATTGATCCTGCATGAAGAGGCCCCTGTGTCTCCAATTCTCAGACCTCAAGGTAGTTTTTTCGCTAAAAAACTTGTTTGATATCCTCTCTTCCCTCCCCGATTAGGTTCACCTATTATATGCTAACTAGAGGCCCAATGCATGAAATTTGTACAAGGAGCTTGGCCCTCACAGCCCAGGCTTCATCTAGAAGGTCATCCGGACAGATGTCTGGAAGATCATCTGGACAGTCATTCTGCTGTTTGGTCTAATTAGCATATTAGCTCTTTATTATATAGGATAGTGTCCTTTATCTCCCATCACAGCAGTTATCATAATTAGAAGGTGATTTGTCTAATTACTTGACATCTATCATCACTATACTGTACACACCACAAGGAAAAGAACTATGACTGTTACCCGTCCATTCCCAGTACCTACCATAGGCCCTGGCATATGATATGTTTTAAATAATAATTGAATGAAAAAATGAATGAATGGATTCCATCTGACGTATGAAAAGATGAAGACTCATTAGCCGCATCAAGTCACTAACAAGTGAGATAAGAAAAACATGGGTTTGTTCTCACTGGCTCCACTCCAGGTCTCCTAGACCTCACTCTCCTGCACTAACACAGGTGCTGGGGAAGGCAAGGAGAAGGAAGCAGGCATGGCGATGACAACAGGTGGCTGTGGCCCTGGTCCCTTCTCACTTGACTTTGCTCCTCTTGTTCACTGATGCTCAGTATATACTTTATGCAGATACACTAGGCACCTACTTAGATGTCTGCATTTGGTCTTACCCTCATGGGGAGGACCATAGTGTGGTATTCATTACTATGACCTCTCACCTCTCATCAGCCTTCATGTATATCATGGACTCCAGAACATGAACATTCAAGTTGGGAATATGTGGTATTTGTATTTCTCCTATGGACTCAGTTGAGGCTCACCTCTCATTCCTACTGCAGCAATCCCATCTCTGCCCAGATCCTTGAGTTATATAACCAGAGGTCACCTTGATCCACCCACACCAAGCTCTAGGTCCATTTCCAGAGCCCAGGTGTCCCTTGCCTCAATTTCCTTTCTCTTGCCCAGAGCTACATTCCTCACCATGTCTACTCCATCTGCTCTGTCTTTTCCTGCTCTCTCTTCCATGCCCACAACTCCCTCTTATTGAATTATTTCTTCATAAGTCCATGAAGCTTAATATCTCTAATTTAAGATAAGCAGGTAAACACTCCCCCAAATATAAATACATTTACCTTACCTACTTTTTGTCACTTTATAATGTCATCAAAGCAAATTCTCAAAGTTTGAACAGTTCAAAGTACTTTTTAAAAAAATATATTTTATTAATTTTTTACAGAGAGGAAGAGAGAGAGATAGAGAGTTAAAAACATCGATGAGAGAGAAACATCAATCAGCTGCCTCCTGCACACCTCCCACTGGGGATGTGCCTGCAACCAAGGTACATGCCCTTGACTGGAATCGAACCTGGGACCTTTCAGTCCGCAGGTCGTCGCTCTATCCACTGAGCCAAACCAGTTTCGGCTCAAAGTACTTTTTAATGATTCTCTTACGTATACGTCCTATTTATCACAACGCAGAGAAAATGATTTCTCAATAGACTTTGCTCAACCTGGGTGAACTGTTTGTTTGACTTAAAAGGCCTAATTCTCCAAACCAGCCTGCAGCACCAAGAATGTGTGTAGCCGAGTCGGAATGTTTGCCTGTGCGGAGCACTCAGTTAGAGCTTGACGCTGCACGGTGGGTCCTTTCTTCTCCAGTTGCCATGGGCATTGTCTGGTTCTCAGTACCTGTGATTAAAGGGCCTCTCCTCCCAGGGTGATTCACCGGAACACAGCCCGGCTCTCCTGCCTGGTCATCCGACGCCCTCTGCAGGAGGACTCTGTTTTGGCTCTGTTGTAGCCAGAGCTCCCTGAAGCTATGCTCCTTTGGTCTGGATAAAACTTGCCCTTGGTCTGGTGACATTGTGAATATTACCGGTAATTAACCCGCAAATTCCCGTCTGTTTAAAGTTCGGGACTTGTGTTCATGTTACCACAATTTCTACCTCCACTGAGAAACCCTAGTGCTTGGAAGACTTTCACATTTGAGGGAGTTGGGGGCAGGGGGGTCTGACGTGGATATTAATATTCTGATTTTTAATTTATCTTTTAAAAAAACAACAACCTTGGCTTATAGAACTAGTTACTTTCTTGGTTTCTCTTTGATCTGGATTTTTATTCCAAGATTATGTTTTAATTTGATTCCTCCATGTTGAAGAGAAAACATCAAGGACAGGCTGAGTTAAAGAAGTAAAAAGATTGTGGGGAGGGATAAACTAGGTTAGGGGTTCGTTTTCTGCCATGTGTTGTGTGACCTTGAAATGCCATCTCACTCCTCCGGGCTCTAGTGCTATCTCCTGACAAATCAAAGCTGGCCAGGGCGGTCCCCAGGGTTTCCTTCAGCTCTGAAGATTGCTCACCTCCTGCTTGCTCCTGAGTCACCCTTCCCTAGTAATACGTATTCCTCTTTTAAAAGTCATGTAAACTGGTTTTATTTCCCAACTGGTCTTTTTTGCCTTTTTATAGTCATATCTATAACTCTGTTGTATTTGCTGTATTCTCTTAAACAGAGATCAATAATTTTACATACAGATCTTTTAAGGAAAACAATAGAACAGTCATAGTGGTCACGTTTTTAAATTGCAAAAATAGATT